GTCCCCCCAATGCTGCCCTTCACCCCCAGCAACCCCCAGCAGGTACCGGGGGAGGGGTCCCGGGGGTCCTGGGGGGGTCCCTGGGGGGTCCCGGGGGTCCTGGGAGGGTCCCGGAGGGGTCCCGGGGGTCCTGGGGGGGTCGCGAGGTCATAGGGGGTCACAGGATCATGGGGGGGGTCGTGGGGGTCCATAAATTCTGGGGTCTCCCGGTGCTGCCTTTCACCCCCAGCTCGGTGAGGTCACAGGGTTGGGGTCCCTCTGGACCCCTCTCGTGACAATTTTAGGGGCTCTGGACCCTCCCGCCGTGAAAATTTTGGGGTCTCTGACCCCCTCAAGTGACAATTTGTGACTCAGGACCCCCTCAAGTGACAATTTTGGGGCTCAAATTGTCACGGGGGGAGGATCAGAGCCCCCAAAATTATCACATGGGGGATCCTGAGTCCCAAATTGTCATTTGAGGGGGTCGGAGCCCCAAAAATTCTCACGGGGGGAGGGTCCACAGCCCCAAAATTGTCACGAGGTGGGTCCTGAGCCCCCAAAATTGTCACGAGGAGGGTCCTGAGCCCCCAAAATTGTCACGGGAGGGTCCCGAGTCCCAAATTGTCACTTAAGAGGGGATCAGAGCCCCCAGATTGTCACAAGTGTGGTTCTGAGACCCCAAAATTGTCACGGGAGGGTCCTGAGCCCCCAAAATTATCATATGGGGGGGCCCGAGCCCCCAAAATTATCACTTGAGGGGGTGCTGAGTCCCAAATTGTCACTTGAGGGAGTCAGAACCCCCTAAAATTTTCACGGGGGGGAGGGTCCCGAGCCCCTAAAATTGTCACGAGGGGACCTTCAAGTGACAATTTTGGGGTCTCTGACCCCCCCTTCTCCCTCCTCCTTCCCCCGGCAGCTGCTGCGGAAGCGCCATATCGGCAACGATATCGTGACAATCGTGTTCCAGGAGCCGGGGGCGCGCCCCTTCTCCCCCCGCGCCCTCCGCAGCCACTTCCAGCACATCTTCCTGGTGGTGCGCGTGCACGAGCCGGGCACGCCCCGCACCTCCTACAGGTTGGGGAGGGGGCGAGGGTCTCGGGGGGA